TTTTTTTTTTGGTTTTTCGAGACAGGGTCTCTCTGTGTAGCTTTGCGCCTTTTCCTGGAACTCACTTGGTAGCCCAGGCTGGCCTCGAACTCACAGAGATCCGCCTGGCTCTGCCTCCCGAGTGCTGGGATTAAAGGTGTGCACCACCACCGCAAAAGTCAAATCTTTTACAGAAAAAAAGTACATTTTTCCTTACAGTAAAACACTGGTATAAATATACTTACATGGTTTGTTAAGTGGTTACATTCCAATGGTAAACAACAAACAATATGTGTCTACTCCTTTGCTCACATTTTTGTAAAAAGTCTCTATCCTTTTGAAAGTAGATGTAAGATCTGCTCAAGGGGCCAGAGAATATCAGTATTTGTTATATAATGATGTCGACTGCATTCAGATTCCTGCACCCACTGAAAAACCACACATCTGTAACTCCAGCTCCAATTTAATTCTTCCTACTGTTTTCTAGGGATGAGTTCAGGGCTTGTGTTATTGCCAGGACTGTCACCAAGGTAGTGATGTGTCTTTTTCTCAATGAATCTATAGCTGGAAGTTTTCCTGCATCTTGCCTGGTCCACAGCCACTCAGACCCAAGTAAACATACAGAGCCTTATATTAATTAAAACTGCTCAGCCATTAGCTCAGCCTAACTACTGACTAGCTCTTACACTTAAACTCAGCCCATTTCTGTTAATCTATATGTTGCCACATGTTTCGTGGCTTTACCTGTGTGCCATTACATGCTGCTCCCTGGACTGCAGACTGGTCTCTCTTGACTCAACCTTCTTCTTCCCAGAATTCTCCTTGTCTGCTTATCCTGCCTATACTGGTCAATCAGCATTTTAGTAAACCAATGTACAAAAGTATTATCCCATAGCACGAATCCTATTGACAATGCTGAGATTTGATTTACTCTCTTATGGCAACATACTTATCCTTGGTGTGTTGGTACCTGTTGTACAACAGTTTCCTCCAAGACTGAAACATTCCACCCTGATGGGAAGCGCCTTAAGTGGGAAGACAAACAACTCAAAAGAGCTCAGAAAGTCCCTGAAACTGACAAGATGTAGTAGGTAGCTGTTCCAGCTTTGACCTGGAAGTACTACCCCCAGTGAGGTTTCCGGTAACTGTCATGCCTACCTCTGCCCTGCCCCTGAGGCAGGGCTGAGACAGGAGCCCTTCAGACCTGAGATCCAGATGTGTTGGCTCTCTTGGTTCCTGGTAATCCTAGATGCGGAATGGTAGACCAGGCAGCGTTCTCCAGAAAACACCACTGGACAGCACTTGACCTCTCCCAGACCCTGTAACCTATCCCTTTACTTGTAAGTTACCCCACAAAATAAACCTCCCTTTAACTATGTGGAGTTGCCTTAATACTTCCACCAGTATCTAGTGCCCAACATAGGGCAAACTCTAAAGAGCTGGGTGGCTTCCACCCTCAGCCTCCTCTGTGGCTGCTGTGGCACACTTTCCACACTTACCACACTTCCCTGTCTCTTCTTTCCTGTCTCTTTTAAAATGTCCACCCTTCCTGGGGACCAAACGCCTACCCATTCAGCCCTTAATTCCCGGTACTGTTTCTTCCCTTCCTTTGCTTCTTCCTCCCCAGCTGGCAGATACCTGAACCTACCTGCCAGGTTTCATATAACCAGGGAGCACCTCCATGGTTCCATTCCCGAAGAAAGGGAGCAGCTATGTCCGGTCTCAGTTCCCCTTGCAAACTTAGTCCCCAAACCAGTGAAAAATGCTGTGAGTGAGGTGCTTCCCCCCCCCCCCACCGCCTCACTGTTCGCCGGCTTCCACATGGGCCCAAGGCTTCCACAGTCTCACCTGGTTAAAATAGATGCCGCACCATCCACCGGCCGGCTCCCTGAATGTGATGCTTCCTTGGCTGCAAAGGCACTGAGACAGACTTGGAGCGGCCTGGAGCTCTCTGTGTCCTGAAGCTCCAGGGAGTCACAGGAAGAACTGCCTATGCTGCCTTGGGGACACTCTGCTCCCTCCTGCAGCTACCGCCAGCCAAAGCCTTCAATGGAACCGACTTTAGAGCTACACCAGCAACACCTGCTGACTGAAAAGCACTGCTACAACACTAAAAGCACTACTATACCAATGAAAGCAAGGTAAGACAAGCAAGCCAGTGTTTATTTTCAAGTAAGAGTACTTGATAATTTTACACCTTGAAACTGACTAACAAATTTTGAGTAATTCTTATAATATGACCGAAAACATTACCTCACAAGAATTTAAAACCTTTTTTTGCCTGTATGATGACTGACATTTTTTCTGGAAATATACGACTTTCCAAAGGCGTATCTGGCCTGTACCATTTTGGCATTTGCTGTAATAATTCACACAGCATTCAAATACTGGTATTATTATTATTATTATTATTATTATTATTATTATTATTATTTATTAATAATTATTATTATTTAACATTACTAATAATAACAAAGATGAGTCATTATTGGAACTGATACAGGCTGTCTGGAATCTGCTAACCAGGATTTACAAGACAGTAATAAAGATTTACAAAACAGTCTTCTTAGTTTTGAATATGCTAACTTAATACAAGAACTTTAGTCCATTAATAATAAATGTATAGCCAAAATCGATTTTATTGATAATAAATATGAATATTTAATGTATAGAACAATAACTATCCAGAGTGAAGTTGTAGCTACTCTGACACTTTGTAAGGAAGAAAGATTATCATTAACTGATAAAATAAGGTCTGTGGAATCATGTGTTTCAGAACATAAAAGGTTACATGATTTCATGAGAAATCTGGAATCCCTAGCAAGAGAGGAGGTTCACTCCCTAAAACAGACCCTAGGTGCTCGTTTGCAAGCCCTGGGAGAAACTCTCAATAAACATGCCAAGGGACCTGATAAGCACAAGGGCAAGACCATACAAGTTGTAACATCTCCAGATGGCTCTCATACAATGGCTTATCCTGTCATCATCCGTGAGAGGCCAGCAGATGATACACACCCTGAGCCATATGTGACATATACATTACAACCAATTTTAATGAGGGACTTTAAAAATATGAAGGAAGTGATTGTCATGTATGGGATATACTCAACATATGTTAGACAGATGTTAAATTCATGGTCTACCTCACATAGAATCATTCCAGATGACTGGCATCAGTTAATTTCAGCTGTTCTAGAATATACCCAGCAGTTACAATGGAAAAGCTGGTTGAGAAAAGAGGCAAGAAATTTAGAGCAACAAGGTAAACTCAGAGATTTTGAGATCTCCCAAGATCAAATTCTTGGTGAGGGATGTTTTGCTGATAGGAATGTACAAGCCACTTATGATGAGCCTACAATATCCTATGCTGTACAGCAGCTATAAATGCTTGGGGAAAAAATCCAGAACAAGAAAAACCAACTGAGGTATATACAAAGATATTTCGGGACTGCAAGAACCCTTCACTAATTTTTTTACAAAGGCTGACCACAGCTGTAACAAAAGCTTTGTCAAATAAAGAATTAAGAAAAGTATTAACTGAGTCCTTGGCATTCGATAATATTAATACAGAATGCAAAAGAATACTTACACCATTAAAGGTTAGATCAACTCCTTTGGAAGAATGGATTCAGTCTACTAACGGTGTTGAATTTCTTAATGATAGTAATGAGGCTTGGATAGGAGAGGCAATTCCCAGAGATAGAATAAGGCTCCCTGGTACCAAATGTTTTAAATGTGGTACACCAGGTCATATAAGTAAAAGCCCCCTCCTTGCCAGAATAAGCAATAAAAGCTAAGAGTCCCTCTCAGATGGAAGAAAGCTGAGCATCAAGGAAGACTCTCAGAAGAGCCAACCTCAGACCAGCTACCTGGAAGAAGCAGAAACCACCAACTGCCTAGAGGGGTTTAGATCAACTGAGTCACTTGGAAAGGACACTCTCCAGCCTGTTGAGTTGCCTGCAGGGTGTGCAGTGTTTCCTGGTTCCCAGCTTTGGTGAGCTGTCATGCATGCTGAGGGTGGGTTGTGATAATACACCTGTCTTTGAGTCATTTCTGCTCCTGTAAATAACTTCTCACCCATATTACTGTAAGTAACCCCAATAAAACTTAGTTTACCAAGTTGGACTTTGGTGGTATTTATATTTTGATCTGTCCAGGGTTCTCTGCCTGGGGAGAGTAGATGTGTGTTTCATTTCTCCATAAAAAGTTTTGTCACACAACAGTATCTACTGGGTTTTATAACTGTAAAATTCTCTTTTTTCTTTGTAATTAGTAAGCATATCATGAGGAGCCATTTTGAAGGGCAATTATATTTGGTTTTTCAATATTGACCATGATGGACAATTTCCTAAAAGACAAATGTACTAATCAGTACAAGTTAGATTGTACTGAGACGATCTAGGTAACCCTGTGCTCTACAGAAGGAAACTGAGATGTGTATGATTAGTTCGCAACACTCTAACCCTTTTTATCCAACTCCTGGACCCATTTGGGGGTGAGCAGGGCCGCCACCCTCCAAAGAACATGTATTTATGTTCTTTCAGGTCACGTCACAATCAGCTATGGAACCTTGAAGGCTGTGGGTAGGGCAACCTCGGAGTCAGGCATCAATTGTGAGACTTGCTTCTGATGTGTTAGCTGCATGGTTAAGGCCTGGTGTCTTATGGTGGCTGGGACAATCTGTACAATTTCGAAGTTCTGGGTCTTTAACTTGTTACTGAACCCTTGCGGGACCCTTCTGAGGAAGGAGTCCTAGAATTCCACAGGGTTTCCCACAGTGGACCCCAGTGAACTGCCAACATTTGATTATTTACCAATCTGTTCCCATTACCAGCTCAATTGGCTTCTTACTCTGTCTTACCCTGACATCCAAAGTCAACTGTTGTTTATAAAGAAAAGCTATTCTGAGTTCTTCATCCTGTGGACTGAAAGGTTCCCAACCTTGAACCAACTTGTGGATTATACTGTTACTGGAATAAGTAATTCTTCAGATATCAAGGTGATTAGCCCAAGAATAACAAGCCAGAGTCAGTCAGACAGTTGCATTCATTTGGAAATAGGAAGGCTATACCATACTGGGGAGCCAGCACCCAGCAAAGGCCAATACAGAAGTGAGTTCATGTGGCAGCCTAAACAGTGTGAGATGGAGATGAAACCTGAAACTTCAGGGCAAGGTCAGAAACGAAAATACCAGCATGAAGGTGGAACAGAGATCGAATCTGAAGCTTTGGGACAAGTTAAAAAAGTGAAATGCCTCACCCATTCGGAGGGCCTGATCCAGTGTGGACCCCTCAGCCATTGGTTCATAGTTCATGTGTTTCCATTCATTTGGCTATTTGTCCCTGTGCTTTATCCAACCTTGGTCTCAACAATTCTCGCTCATATAAACCCTCCTCATTCTCGTTAATTGGACTCCCAGAGATCCACCCAGGGCCTAGTCATGGATCTCTGCATCCAGATCCCTCAGTAGTTGGATGAGGTTTCTAGCACAACAATTAAGGTGTTTGGCCATCCCATCACCAGAGTAGGCCCTCCGAATGGGTGAGACAGTTGATTGGCTTGATCTGTTTGGGAGGCATCCAGGCAGTGGGACCAGATCTTGTGCTCATTGCATGAGTTGGCTGTTTGAAACCTGGGGCTTATGCAGGATTGTTTGGCTCGGCCTGGGAGGAGGGGACTAGACCTACCTGGACTGAGTCTACCAGGTTGACCTCAGTCTGTGGGGAAGGCTTTGCCCTGGAGGAGATGGGAATGGGGGGGGGGCGTTGGGGGGAATGTGAGGGGGACGGGAGGGGGGAGAACAAGGGAATCTGTGACCGATATGTAGAACTGAATTGTATTGCAAAATAAATTAAAATAAATTAAATAAAAAAAAAAAGAAGCAAAAAAAAAAAAAAAAAGTGAAATGCCAGGATGAGGGTGCAACGGATTTGGAGTTTGAAGAGCCCAGCAAAACTCCAAAGAGGATACCTCAGGAACAGCAAGACCGAGAGCTTCAAAGTCAACAGCCATGCAAGGATGAGCTACGGGAACCCCATCAAGAAAGTCTAAGACAACTAAAGCCCCTAGAGTGGGGTAAAGGTCCACAGGAGCAGGCTATAACTGGGAGAAAGTCTGGGGATGGTGGCAAGGGTTGCAAGCGGCCCTGTTGCATCATGGAGGAATATGCCAAAAACCACCAAAGGCAAAAGTGCCAAAGGTTGCTGCAGCACCTTCTGCCCAGTGATCACATGAAATCTGACCCACAGAGAGCTCTCACAACCCTGGTGGACACCTTGAAGATCAAAGGGTGTGTGGAAGGGCACAGTCATGGATCCAGAACAACTCAGTGTGATCCTAAACAATCTACTGTTGTTACCACAAAGGAATGTGTCTCACCAGACTTGAGAGTGAGGACGTGTACAGAGAACTCTTCTGATACACAGAAAAAAGATGCAGTAAACCTTGAAGGAAGAAGGGGACACCACTTGGAGCCTGACTTGCTAAGAGCAGAGGCTCAAGTCTTCCTGCATAGTGGCAGCAGTAGGTCACTCCCCAACAAGATGCCAGTAGTTATGGCAGAGAAAAAGCCTGTTGCAGAACAGGAAAAGGGCAGAGGAACGGATGAAGTCCTTAATGTTACAGAGGACATGGAAAAGGAAATAAGAAATGCACTGGGTCCAGGACCCCAGGAGGAAATCTTAACGAGTGCATTCAAACTGCATATTACTCGAGGAGATATCCACACCCTAGAGAATGGTGAGTGGCTCAATGATGAGGTCATCAATTTTTACATGAATCTTCTGGTTGAGAGAAATATCAAAAAAGGGTACCCAGCTCTTCACGTGTTCAGCACTTTCTTTTATCCTAAACTAAAGCATGGTGGCTACTGTTCTATTAAACGATGGACTCGAGGAATAAAACTGTTTGAAAAAGAAATTATTCTAGTACCTATTCACCAGAAGGTACATTGGAGCCTAATAGTAATTGACCTAAGAAAACAAAGTATTGTTTACTTTGATTCAATGGGTCAGACAGGGCAGAGTATTTGTGAGACCATGTTTGAATATTTACAAAATGAGAGCAAAACTCAAAGGAACATTGAGCTGGACCCTTTGGAGTGGAAAAGATACAGTATGACTTCAAAGGAGATTCCTCAACAACTGAATGGGAGTGACTGTGGAATTTTTACTTGTAAATATGCAGATTACATTTCTAGAGACCAACCACTTACCTTTTCTCAGCAACACATGCCCATCTTTAGGAAGAGGATGGTCTGGGAAATCCTGAATTGTCACTTACTGTAACAACATCCACCTGGTTCCTATGGCACCCCTGCACTTTTCCATCAATGTTTCTATATACCTCAAGCAAGATGAGTTGAAAAGATTTAAAACAGATACTGAGCTGCCTGACATGGAGGAAGCCCACTCTCTTCAATGTAGTCCTGACCTGGGGAGTTCTGCCCAATGCCATCTATAGCTGCAAGTAGCTACTGCAAGCTTAGAAATTGCTGTTCAACCCACACAAGAACACATGTTCAAACAACATTGTTTTAATGTTGGATTTAGTTTATGAATTATTTTAATGTTGAATTTATTTTATCAATTGTTTTAATATTGGATTTAGTTTCTGAATTGTTTTAATGTTAGATTTAGTTTATGATTGTTTTTTTGTCTTCTTCCCCCACCAATGATTGTTTACGTTTTCACTCACTCATTTGCAAACCTTTTACAGTTTCCATTTTATAATACTCTCTAATTGCCAACTCTATTCCTTGTTTGAACTGTTTATTCCTGAAAGGAATGCCCATCACAATGTCATTCTCTCCTTAAGATCAGGAGGGACATCAGCAAGAAGAGGCAGGATGTGTTAACTAGCATCTCTAATGATGGAGTTGTATCTGTTAAATTGAAGCTGGAGGTGTTTTTTTTAATGTATTTTTTTAAAGCTTGAAAATAGTACAAGAAAGACAATGAATTGCACAGACTGATGCTTTCCTGACTCATCACATTCTACTGGACTTGCATAGGATGCAGAACTGTTGAGAAAAGCATCATGGTTACTTTAAGACACATTCTTTCCCAGAATTAAGGTGACTTGCCTTAGGTTTTGAAAGTTGATTAGAAGTAATTATAATGGTAAATATCCATATTATTATATTGAATCCAAACTTCAGCTTTGCTAGGTCTATATTGAATTATTTGAAAAGTTTGATTCAATTTAATGTTATTTACTTAATTCATTAGGTTAATATTGCTATATCCCATTCCCACTGTGGAAGTGGTGATTTATGGTTGATATTGCTAATTATACAGTAATCCATTTTACATATGATGAACTGTATTTAACTTTTCATTATCTTACAGTTATGTTTACAAAATTTTTATATAATAAAGTTTAAAGTTGTTCAAAACATATATAGCAATAAAAAGGAAATGAATAATTTTTTGATATATTCCACCTACTGAAGGTAAATCAATATTAGATAAACAATTTAAGCAGACCTATAATCCTAAGTAAAATAGAAGCAGTAATTAAATGTCTACTGATAAAAGAAAACAAAACAAAACAAAAGAAAAATAACCAGGACGAGATGGTTTTAGCATAGAATTCTACAAGGCTTTTCACGAAGAGTTGAAGACAATACACAAATTATCCCACAAAATAGAAACATAAAGAGCATTGCCCAATTTTTTAAGAGGCCACAGTTATCCTGATACCTAAATCACATAAACACTGTACAAATAATGAGAATCACAGGCAATTTTACCTCATGAACACTGTTGCAAAAATTCTCAATAAAATGCATGCAAACTGAATCCAATAATACCTCCAAAAGATCATCCACCATGAACAAGTAGGCTTCATCCCAGAGTGCAGGGATGTTTTAACCTATGTAAATTTATAAATCCAATCCACCATATAAACAAACTGAAAGGCAAAAACTAGATAATCATCTCATTAGATGCAGAATAGGCATTTCACAAATTGTAGCACCTCTTCATGTTTAAGTCCTGAGTGATTAGGGATACAAGAGACATACGTCAACATGATAAAGGCAGCACTATGATGATCAATTCCATAGCCAACATTAAATTAAATGGGGGTGAACTGAAAGCAATTCGACTAAAATTAGGAGCAAGGCAAGGTTGTTCACTCTCTCCATACTTATCCAATATAGTACATGAAGTCTTAGCTAGAGCAACAAGAGGACTGAAGGAGATCAAAGGGAACCAAACTGGAAAGGAAGAAGTGAAAGTATCTTTATTTGCAGATGATATGATAGTATACATGACTCTAAATATTCCCCCTAGAAACTCCCAATAGCTGACAAACACTTTCAGAGAAGTGGGAGGATAAAAAATTTAACTCAGGAAAATCAGTAGCCTACCTGTATTCAAAAGACAAATGGACTGAGAAAGAAATCAGAGAAACAACTCCTTCCACAAGAACCTCAAAAATTATAAAGTACCTTGGAGCAACTCTAACCAAGCAAGTGAACGACTTTTATGATAAAATCTTCAAGTCAAGTCTTTGAAGAAAGAAATTGAACAAGATATCAGAAGATGGGAAATTGAACAAGATATCAGAAGATGGAAAGATCTCCCTTGCTCATGGATTGGTAGGATTAATATAGTAAAACTTGTCATTCTGCCAAAAGCAACCTACAGATTCAATGCAATCCCTATCAGAATTCCAACACAATTCTTCACATATCTTGAAAGGGCAATTTTCAGCTTCATATAGGAACACAAAAATCCCAGGATATCTTAAACAATCCTGAAGTTTCCATTGCACTAGGTTTCTAGCTTGTCCCTGACCTGTACCCTGCAATCCAGTTTTCTCTTCTGGTACTCTCTCCCTCCATCCTCTCCACCACACCTGATGCCTTCTGTTCCCATCCCCCCACTGCATCCACCGACCTGCCATGTCTATTCTATTTCCCCTTCCCCTCCTTGTTATTTAGCTTCTCTGGGTCTGTGAATTATAGCATCCAACAAACCAAATAATCCTGAGAAAATTAAGAATTATGGTCAAGTCCTTACTGGAATAGTCTGTGAGGCTGCATTGTCTGAGCCAGTTGCCTTGAAGCTTTTCTGGGTGTTGGATCATCTGGGCCGTGGCGTCATTGGAGACCTTTTAGGGGGTCTTGGCTGATCAAACCATATCAGCCTGGAAGCAACCCACAGGTTCTCATCTTCTGTGGAAGCAAAAGGAGAACCTCTTTTCCAAAGCAACATATCCTTAGACATAAATTTTGAAGTCAAGATACCTTTAAAATATTGATTTAACTCAGCAGCCTTTATTATCAAATGTCTTTCTGCAGTTAAAAATCCCAAAGACAACACAATGCAGATTCTCTCTGTAATATCCATCTTTATGTGGCTTATCTTTTATATTATTCTTATTGTCCCTTTCAAGATTTTATTTTTTAATGCCATTTTTATATAACTGTATATACTCCTTTTCCTCTCTTCCAAGCCTACATACATTTTTTACACACAATATAAACTGTTCAGAGATTTATTTCATCTGAATCTGTTTTATTGTGAATGTATGATCCTTCTCTGACCAGGATAGATTTTAAACTGCTAAACTGTGTTTTTAGGACTGAAGCAGTAGTCTTGGCTGCTGACTCCTCCCATTTCAGCTTTTCAGCATGGTGGAGGTAATTCACCTCCAGCTCTGGGAGCCATGCTCTCTGCCGACTCTGGGAGACAGTGGGTTCATGCCTCCATTCAGCAGCAGGTAGCCCAGAAACCTTTTTTGTGTGTGTCTGTACCAGCAAAAGCTAAATCCACCACGCAGCATACTGCATGGCTTGGAAATGCCTCTGTGTACCACAGCAGGAATCCGCCATGCTGCAGGTCAAGACCACATGCCTCAAACCCACCATACTGTAGCTCAAGACCGCAGGCCAAGGATTGCCTGAGAAGACGGAACTAGGAAGCTGTTTATAGCTCCATTTTAGAATCTTTTTTTAAAGCTTTGTCAGGTTTTGGGTGGAAATTCTTGCTCCATGTTGGGCAGCCAATTGTAGTCAGAAGGGTTCTCCAGTCCTGTAAGACCCCCACAGTCCTGTGGCCCTCTTATAAAACAATCACTCAGAAGCTTATATTAATTATAATTGCTTGGCCTTTAGCTCAGGATTTTTATTGACTATTTCTTACATTTAAATTAACCCATAATTTTTATCTATGTTTATCCATGTGGCTTGGTACCTTTTCTCAGTTCCGCCTTGTCATCTTGCTTCCTCTCTGTCTGTCCGCGGCTCCTGACCCTGCCATTACCCTTCTTGTCTCTCTCCTGCACTTCTTGCCTGGTTGTAACTTGACTTGCCATAGGCCAGAGCAGCTTCTTTATTAACCAATCATAGCAACACATATTCACAGCATACAGAAAGATATCCCACAGCAGGTGTTTTCATTATATTTTTAAATTTTTAAAATAAGTGCATCACTCATACTGTATGTGTTTTATTAGCACTACATCATAAGTACCCTGCTTATATTCTGTATCATGTGTTTTTGTAAGGATCATCTGCTAAAAATCAATGTACATCACTCTGGTGCTTTGTAGAGCATTTTATTAAGGCATACATGGCAGTTTAGACAAGCAAAGCTGTTCTTTCAAAGCTCTCTACGTACTGGTCCAGTTAGATGTCTCAGTGGCTTCAGGTGCTTGAAGCTGAGCCTGACATCCTGAGTTCAGCCCTTAGAACCTACAGGATGCAAGGAAAGATCAACAAACTCACTCCTGCAAATAGTCCTGTGACACCCACACATGTGCCATGGTACATGTGCATTCACACGCACGCACACACACACACACACACACACCTAAATAAATCAGTATTTTTTTTTAAATCCACGCTTGTCTATTGCTTTCCTACCAAAACATTATGATTTGTTTTAGGTGCTTTTCTTTTGTGACAGCTGTTAAACCTTTTGGGAAAGATGATGGACGTGAACAAGTACGTCTTGAGTCAGTTTCAGGAAGAGCATGTGTTTATCTCTAATTATATATGTGTCAGATAGGTAGGTAAGGTAGATAGTTATCAAACATAGATGTGCACAATTGCTTTCTTTCCATCTGTATATATTGTAACATGAAGAACTCATGGGTATTCTGTGAGTGAGATACAAAAAAAGATTAAGCAAAACCACAGGTTTTCTAAAGAGAAGTGCAGTTTCCATAATTTCTCATAGAATAGACTCTCCTGTAGAGTTTCCTCCTTGAACGGATAAATAAAGAAGGACCTGGCAAGTATCATGTTCCCCCGTCCCATACTTTTGGGAAACTCTGAAGGACAGAGAACTGGCCTGGGATTCAGAACACACACTAGCATGTTAACTTGATTGAATCAATACTTCCCAAATATGTTTGAATTTAAAATCTTTTTAAATGGAGTATTTTGTGGGATTTTATAAAAACACTGGCTCAGAGCATTTTCTCATTAAAATTACTACAATTTGTACTTAATGTCCTCAGAAAAATTAGGATTGACTAAGTGTTTCTTTGCTGAAGAATTCGGAATGTTTTATGGTATTCTTTACCCACAAACTGAAATACAATTTAAAAGCAAATATTTAAATATGCTTTTGACAGTCTCATTGTTTGCCTTATGGTAATTACCATAAGACAAATGTAAATACTGTATCTAAATGACATTTTGAATGTTTTTGTATTCTCAAAATCAATTCAGTGTTATAATTCCTTTCTGAAGATGATGTTAGTTTACAATTCTACAAATTAACCAAGAATACTTCCCTCTCACTCCAGGCTAGCTGGCATCCCAAAGCCCTGCACACGGGACACTTAGGACACTTTGCTTTACTCTCCATCCTCTCTCCTTCCCTCCTTTCTTCGTTCATTTTTAATTGGTTTGGTCATCTAGCATAGTAAACATTTTTATAAACCCACAATTAAATCAAATGTGTTCTGTTATTTATTTCCTGAAGAGATAATAAAAAGTATTTTTGATTTCTGTTCACAAGTAAAGAGAGTTTTCTGTAGCTCGCAATAGATATAATGGCAGGAAAATGTGATCTTTTTAAGTCAATATATGGTAATTGGGCAGGATTAGTCACAATTGTCATAAACAATAAGAATAACAATGAGATTTATTACAAGCCTGTTTCTTGCCCAATGTAATTGTATTTAACAATTATGAGTTGAAATGTGAATGAGGATGTGGAACTTTGTGTTGGCCTGCTGACTCAGCTCTTTCTTCCAGGGATTCATTCCCAGGCCACCACACTGGAGACTCTGTGTCTCTAGTAATTGAAGCTCTCTTTCTTATTTCTAACCAATTCGTTTCTTTCTTCCCAAAGGAAATTGCAATCCT